TTTTATTGAATCAAAATATACATTTGTTGTGATTTACCTTTATATTCGTGAAAATCTTTGTGCACACAACATTGCTCGTAAAGTTAGTTATATCGTCCGATTTTGAGTTGATAAATATCTTTATCTCAAATCTACTTTTACTCTGGACATTGCGGCGTACAATTGTATATGCCACCCTAATATGACACTAATATTACACTAACAACAACTACTAATACTAATACTAAAACCAACATTGATAATACTAATATCAATACTAATATTAATACTAAAACCAATACTAATATTAATACTAAAATCAACACTAATAATACTAATATTAATACGATGATTAATACTGATAGTCTAATACTAATATGAATATCAACATTACTATTAACCAACCCTCAATAGGAGAGTTGGTACCTAGCATTTACCAATAAGGTAAAGGTCTAGGGTTCGAGTCCCCTCTCCCCTACTTCCCTTGTAATAAACTTGAATTTACTCAAAAAAAAAAATCAAAAAAAAAAATAAAAAATCAACACTACTATTAATAATCATACGTCAATTCTAATACGAATATTTAATGTTTAAACTAATACTCCAATACTAATACGAACACTAATACTCATACTAATACTAATACTAATATTAAGACTAATGCTAATGTTAATGCTAATACACTAAGACAAATAGTAATAGTGATGTTCATACTAATACTAATACTGATACTGATACTGATACTAATACTGATAATGATATTGATATTGATACTATTAATGTTACTGATATTTATACCCATACTTATACTTATACTCATACTTATACTCATACTCATACCCATACTTATACCCATACTCATACTCATATTCATACTCATACTCATACTCTCATACCCATACTCATACTCATACTACACTCACGCTCACACTCATACTCATACTCATAGTGATACTGATATGGTTATTAATGCTAATATTAATATTGATATTGATAGGGATATTAATACTCATACTAATATTAATACTAATATTAATACTAAAACTAATAATAATACTGATACTGATACCGATACTAATATTGATATTGATACTAATAATAATACTCATAAGTAAGTAATGTTGACATAATTATAAATTAAACGTTTAAATTTAGTAATTTTGCCGCATAATGAAATTAGTGATTATTTATTTATTGTTAGTTGAATAAAATTATT